CAAAAACCACAAAAAAAACCCAACAAACCCCCCCCCCCCAAAACAAACCACAAAAACATACCACTAAACCATATTCCTGAGGACTGTGTCAACCCGTCTTTTGAACACCTCCAGGGATGGTGCCTCAACCACTTCCTTGGGCAAGGGAAGGGTTGCAGGCAACTCTTGTAAAGGGACAGCAAACTTTTGCTTTTGTGCTCCCAAACAGAATAAAAGCACAGAACACTGCAGCCTAAAGTTACTGCTTATCAGCTATTTTCCCAGTAACTATTACACAGTGTGGTACCACTGCTCTTACGTTAAGTTACCAACAGAAAATACCATTCTCCGCTAATTCTCAGCAAACAATTACTCGTTGCTGGCAACTGCTGTGAGACTGATAATACCTACCCTGCAGGGCCATGTTTCTGCTTCAGTCACAGATATGTATTTAAGTGCTGTGTACTCAAACAGAAATTCAGTCTCTCACCACCACACTAGAAGAGGGAAAGTAGCCTTAGAATTCATTCTCGTGTAGTACAGTGCTATGAAAAACTAACCATGATTGTGTGACATTTGGACTGTGTCCTGCTTTGGTCGAGTACTGAAGACAGAGTAGGTTTGTTCTAGTTACTTAGACTTCCATGACTCCGCGTTCCTTATGTCACACTTTGGAATTTTTTTAAGTCATTTTAAGTTGTGATTTTCACAGCCAATAATCTTTTGTTTGGAGATAAATACTAAACACCTGCTACACAGTCTTTCCTTAAGTTACCATTATAACTCTAAAACTGTAGATCTGTGTTAATGGTTCTCTGTGGGAAAAACAGCAAATATTTGAAGCACATGAAGGAATTCAGCTTTCCAGTCATCAAACTGGACAAGTATTGTTACTAATATCTTACAAATAGGTAATAAGGACACAAAAAGAAGAAAAAGATCAATAAAGGCTCAGAAATAAAGTTTGTGGATAGGCCACAAAGAAAATCCAAGTCACTCACTCAATTACAAGTCCACTTTTCTTCTTGTTGCCTGAAAAATGCCTGGGAAACCTCCTCTAAGAGTACCCAAGTGTCATACATTTCATAGATATTTAGATTCTTAACTTACTCTCTGTATCCTCCTCTTCACTCTCTTCTTTGTGTGGGAGCACAACATCCATTACCCACTTCCCTTCTTTTGTCTCTCCAAGGATGTTTTCCAGTTCCACATCCTGTATAGTACTCCCCTCAGAGGAGAGCAATTTATCCAAGCCAAATTTCAGGATTTCGCTCAGCTGTAACAAAGAGAAGGGGAAGTTCAGTATTAATATCTCCCAATTCCACACCAATCCCAGTATCTTGAGCTTCTCAGGATTAAACGCAAAGGCTGTACAATTGGAGAAATCTAAGCCTTAATGTTACCTGTCAGAACACTTATGCTTTAACATGCTCAGTTCTCCCAACACCTGATGGGACAGGTCCCTACAACATATCTCCCTCAATCATAACTCATCCAGACTTGAACAGTCATTTTTCTCTAGGGCTGAATGACAAAACAGCATTGTACTGATGGCATTCAAGCAGCTTGCTTCATAGCCAGAAAGACCAGGGATGGTTTTGCCCCCAACTCCTTTAAAACAAAAGCTTAAATACCACAAAAATCCATGGGGAGAAAAATATCAGCACGGAATTTCCTATGGGCTCAGTTCCACTTCTCCCATGGAAAATATAATTGCTGATACATGCTGGTGGGATGGGAAGGCGAGGCGGTGGGTGAAAGAATTCACTTATTTCAAACCTTTCCCAGGTTTAGCTGCATAGAGGGCATATTCCCCTAAATGTCACTCTGCTTGAGGTTTTCAACCCAAGTTTTCAGCACAAATGTCAGCTTTCAGATCAGAATTATAAATCATGCCCTGACTCCTGAGACACTACGTTTGCCGAGAGGTCAACAAAAGGTTGACCAAGTTTCAGACTAGAAACCAAAAGCTGACCAAGAACTTATCATCAGCGCTGCTTGGGAGAGAAAAGCACCGAAGACAAATAAGTTCTAGAAACAATGAGTCAGCTTCCACTTCAGACCTGTTATAATTAAAAATAAACAAGTAAAATTAGGAGAGGTTCTGCCTTCCTCTCTTCTCCAAAAAGAACACACCCTTTTTCAACAATAGATGTGCCTCAAAATTGTAAAAACTGTCATCAAACATCAGATCTTGTCTGGACCTGGGATGTTATTTTGGTTCCTAAGACATGCAAAAGCTGTCGTGTCAATGCACATCTCCTCCAGAACATCTATTTGGCTAGGTTCGTATCAGACATAAATACAGAAACTCTCTGGGACATTTCTAAAGATGTTACTGGAGTCAAGTTGAGGATATAGCTCTATTTTACCTGTAACTCCGCTGCTCCCTGAGGCTTGGGTGCTCCCAGAGCAAAGTGACCCCCTTCTACAATGGCATTTGTCAGCCGGAGCTTAGAGGCAGCTCTTCGGTAGATTATTTCTTCAATTGTATCTCGCCCAATCAAGCGGATAATTTTTACAGGCCTTGAAAAGTTGAAGAAATTCCTTATTATTTTCTTTTTTTTTTTGAGGTGCACTAAATCTGTTTCCTTGCACGGAGCACTACCCCCTCACCCACTCCTTTGATAGGGAAAAAAGGCAAGAACAAAATCAACAGTAACAATCAGCAGAAATGTAATGCTGGTACAATTGCTTCTTGACACAGGAGAAATGCGAAAGTGCAGACAAACTTCCAGATTCCCTCTCCTCCTCCAAATCAACAAAGCTCCCACCCTAGACACATGACAAGGACAAGACTACACGAGGCTGCAACAGAAAAACAAAGACATAAAATCCTCTCTGCTCTCCTTCTTTGACATTCAAGCTATTGTACTTTAACCCTCCATTGCCTATGAACAGGGGAAGCAAAACTGAGAGACCAAGAGAATCAGCAACCAAACCAGAAGTAGCAACATTTCTCACTTGTTCTGCCCAATCCGGTGAGCTCTTGCTATTGCTTGCAGGTCATTTTGTGGGTTAAAATCACTATCGGTGAAAATAACTGTATCTGCTGCTGTCAGGTTCATGCCAACTCCACCTACAAGCAAAGAAGGAGATCACAAAATACGTCACCAGCAGAAAATAAAGGAGAAGCTGGAGAATTTATGCTATGCAAGGCTCTGTAAGATCTGATCAACTGTATCTAATTCAATCCATCTCTCCACCCCAAACGTAAGTCTCACACAGCTCTAAAAAGATGGGTAAACTTTCCATTTCGAGAATCAGCAACCAAACCAGAAGTAGCAACATTTCTCACTTGTTCTGCCCAATCCGGTGAGCTCTTGCTATTGCTTGCAGGTCATTTTGTGGGTTAAAATCACTATCGGTGAAAATAACTGTATCTGCTGCTGTCAGGTTCATGCCAACTCCACCTACAAGCAAAGAAGGAGGTCAGAAAATACGTCACCAGCAGAAAATAAAGGAGAAGCTGGAGAATTTATGCTATGCAAGGCTCTGTAAGATCTGATCAACTGTATCTAATTCAATCCATCTCTCAACCTCAAATGTAAGTCTCACACGGCTCTAAAAAGATGGGTAAACTTTCCATTTCCACCTTCCAGCTTTCTGCAGCAGCCCAAAACCAAGCTGTACTATACAATGCAGTCAAAAAAGATAGGGTGCAAGTGAACCAATGCAAAGGGGACAGTTGTCAAGCTTTCTGCAGCAGCCCCAAACCAAGCTGTACTATGCAATGCAGTCAAAAAAGATAGGGTGCGAGTGAACCAATGCAAAGGGGACAGTTGTCAAGGCTGATGAACACAGACATACTCTTCTGCTGGCAGGCAGATTAACCCAGCAAGGACTGGCTTCACTGAGACTACAACAGACTACTACTACAACTTGGCTGCAGCACAGAAGCAACAGGTAACTACAGTGCTGAAACAGTGGAAAAAACCAGGCCCAACTATACAATAACCAGAGCCTAGGTATTTATATGACAAAGGTTTTGAGGTTAGAGTTTGGGCTCTTACGGAACAAAAAGGAAAAAAAATACAGTTAATTATATTGTTTTAAGGCTGATGAACACAGACATACTCTTCTGCTGGCAGGCAGATTAACCCAGCAAGGACTGGCTTCACTGAGACTACAACAGACTACTACTACAACTTGGCTGCAGCACAGAAGCAACAGGTAACTACAGTGCTGAAACAGTGGAAAAAACCAGGCCCAACTATACAATAACCAGAGCCTAGGTATTTATATGACAAAGGTTTTGAGGTTAGAGTTTGGGCTCTTACGGAAAAAAAAGGAAAAAAAATACAGTTAATTATATTGTTTTAATACCAACTGTCTACACACTGTAGCCTGCTGCTTTACACTTCTTCCAGCTCATGCCAAGCACCTCTTCACAGTAATCAGAACATCCCCGCAAGTGGAGACAGTCACGCACCTGAAAAACTCTATCCGCAACAGTGATGGAAATACTGCTAGCACACCCATTTCCAGCTGAATACAAAATGTTTTGGCCAGACACAGCAATGTGCAGTCATAAGTCTGGCTGCCATGGGCAGGGAGAGTTCAGGCACTGTCAGGAGAGACACGCTAATTCCTACCATCTAGCATTTGGCACTTATCTTCAGTCTCTCTACATATGGCCCTCAACGCCCTGCAGTATCATTGGAGACAGGCTCATCCAGGAAAGTCTGACCGGAAGCTGAAAGGAAAACTTAGTTCCAACTTGATGCAGTGGGGATCCCTCCTCTGGAGACAAGCCTGCCCCTGTGCTTGCTTGAATCCAGAGACAGGGAGGTTTGAAACTAGGTAGAAGACACAGATCTGCCTGAGGAGCTAAGAGGGGAAGAAGCACAGATAGCAGTCCCACGGCGTTCTTTGCCATTCTCAGGACAGTAAAAGGGTCTCATTTAAGTCTGCCAGATAGAGAGCATGTCCATGCTCAGCAAACCTGAGAAGCAGTTCCACCAGCTTACTGAAAGGAAGTCTGTTCCCGCCTAAAGTTTGGTGCTTGCAGAAATAAGATGCTAGTGAGACTCCTTAAGCTCAACCTGGCACAGGGACAGGCATTATGGGACTTGGAATAAAAAAAGTAACTCAAGTGGCTGCAATATGAAAAGTATCTTGGCATCAGCTGCCGAAAGGAAAGCACAGAAACCAGATGTCCTAGCTGAGAGACCCCAGTTCAGGATGTGACTTGTCTCCCTCAAAAATCCCCCACATGAACAGGCTCTGCAGGATTCAGAACTCCCTGAAATCTTGCCAGAGAGAGCAACAGATGACTGCAGAGGCAAGATGGGCTGTTTGTCTCTCCTTTCCTTACTTACCTGCTCTGGTGCTCAGCAGGAAGATGAAGACGGGCTGTTGACCAAAGTTCTTAATGGCAAGGTGTCTCTCTTCACCCCTAACAGAACCGTCCAGCCGCTCGTAGCTGTAGCCTTTTCAAACAAGGAACACGTATGTTTCTGAAATTCTGTCTATGCTCTTACCTCATTCTCTATTGTCTCACTGCTGTCCTGAATCTTTTTTACACCAGATCCTCCTGCCTTGATTCTCATTTTATTGCCTTCAACTCCTTCATCCTTTCCTAGTTAAACCTCGTATAAAGAGAAGTAGTGACCCTGACTTCCAGATGGAGTGTCGGCAAAGGGTAATTTAGCTGAGTCTGAAGCAGAGACTCAGCATTTAATTTACTGCTTGGAAACACAACAGGAAAATTCAGAGCCAAAGTATAAAAGAACGTTAGCTCACAGTCCCATTTCAGACTATGTTGTGCTGGCTGTTGGCCCCACAAAACAGGCCAACTACCATTGGATCCTCCATTTATGCAAAATCCCACAGCCTTGAATGTGTGCTTTCCTGTGAGCAAGCAGTATGGGATATGGCCCTACATTTGGCTTTATCCTGCATTATTAGTTGTCCAAAACCATAAACACCAAACAAAAGCCTCTTTCATGGGAAATCCTACGTAGGCATGGAGCCACATGGATTGAAACAAAAGAGAATGTCCCAAGAACACTTTGGTAACCTTGCCAAAAATGGTCTGATCCAACCTGCCCTCGCAGACATTTTGGGGCCCCACTGCCAACAACTGTTTTAGTCAAAAATTAATTTCCTGGTATGAATGTGGCCCAACTTGCATTTCGTGCTGGACAAACTCAATCTAGAGCAAGCCTACTGCCTTCTGTTCAATTACTTCAGGACTCAGGGTACATAACTGAACACAAGTATATATGAAACATTGCTACCTGCCATTTATTAACTCCATTTTATCAAGGAATCAAAGCTGAAACTGCTTTGAAGAACAATATTGAAGAGCCAGTTCATTTCAGTCTGGTCATAGCACAGTAAAGAGCTGAACTCGATACCCTCCAACACAAAGTACCACTCCAACAGTATGGTTTCTATCTACTAAGAAGCAGTAAATCCCCATCCCTTCTCCAGCCCAAGCAGATCAACCAAAATCAGAAGAACAATATACAGATGAGATCATTAGGATAAGCCCTCTGCTACCAAAGAATGCAGAACGTACCTCTATAGTCCATGTAGTCTTGCAGGATATCAAGCAGTTGAGTCATCTGAGAGAAGAGCAAGACACGGTGGCCACTGGAAGAAGAACGTGAGACACCATGAGCCTCAACATACTGTGACAGCATTTCACACGGTGGTAGAGGGGTTACAATAGGTTAACCAGTCCCTGCTACACAGCAAGACCTCATCACCTCTATGCACTAAACCTCACAGTGTCACAGCTCATTCCCTCACATTTTCAGCCCCAGATCCAGATGCAACCAGTCAGCTACATCTGCCATCATCAGTTGCCATGCCCAGAGCCTGATGTCACAGAGATGTGACAAGGCTCTGGCACAGCTCTGCTGCTGGCTGGATGCAGCCCGGTGAGGATCCAAAGGAGCCTGTCTAGAAGGATACTCACGAGGTCTCCCTCACCACATGACCTGGCACACCAGACTGCTCTCAAATCACAAACTACAAAGCATGTTAAATGCTGCAACAATGTAGTATCAGCATCTCTGTGACAATTGAGTATTTCCTGCTCCAGCAAATGACCCTCAAAGATTAAACTCTGCCTACAACTGTATATAAGTGAGAAATGGGCTCTCCTCCCTCCCAGCTATAGGCCTCAGTGCTCTGTTAAAATCAGACTTCACTGTAGAGCAGAACACAGGCATTTTCAAGTCCAGAATTTGCACAAATCTGGTCTTATGGCAAAGACATTCAAGGAACGGTGCTATACAGCAGAAGGACAAAGACCTCCATAACCACATCAGAACTTCCCAACGTCTGCTGAAGCTCTGTCCTTTGGAAGTAGTCAAAGGGAAATCACAGCCCAATTAAGAGATACGGCAGAATTTGTGTCACGTGGAGGTGCTGCTTCACAGACTGCACAAGAATACAAACTGCAGTTTGATTTGCCTCCCATCTGAGAGATGGAGGGAAATACCCAAGGTTCTGAAGTCACTAAAGCTCAACACAAGGAGTTCCAAATGCCATTCCCAAAGCTGAAGTTCCAGCTTTGGTTCAGTCAAATTTCTTTGTCACATTTTCTATGCATTCTGCCTCCTGGGCTAGCACAGGCATGGGAGCACAAAGGAACTCAACAGACGCACTGGAAGCTGTTCTCAGGAAATCCAAGGTCAGACCAGATGTGCTGCATACCATGTCAAATGGTTATTCTCCCGGGTTCCCAAATATGGCAAATACGAGAACATGTGACAGAGCTAATGAAGTAATTTGAAAAACATTTAAAGGCAATCTACAAAAATCTACCATCTCTAATGCAGCTCCTTATATTGAAATGTCTTCTTTAGTAGTCAGTAATGTGCAATAAATAGGACAGTGCTCGTGTTGTGATGAATATCTGCACAATCTATAGCTAAATAAGGCACTTTACCTTCCAAGTTTATCCCTTCTCTCTATGCCAACCCTACTCTATCTTCCTCACCCCAACATGACGTACCCAGCATACAAGAATGAAAGGAGTTTATCCAACAAGCACAGCTTGCCACTGGCTTCAACAATATGATCTCCAATCTCAAAGGGTTCTGGCTCAACACCTGGAACAGAAAGGAGTTTCAGAAGCAGACCTAGTACTATGCAAGTAACAACTCAGTGGTCAACCTCAGAGTGTCTGCGCTGCCAACTATTGCCAAGCAGACTCCTATGATGCTTGCTTGAGAAGTGATGGTCCTTCTCTGTCTCTAAAGAACAACCTCAGTAGTTCACAAAGCACTGTGATTTCATTGTTTAGGTGAGAGAAGACACACAAGCAGAGAGCCGCAGTGAGAAACTCAGGCTTCACAGAGTCCTCTACTTTATTCCTCATTGTTGATGAGCTGTCATATGTTGGAACCGGTCACAAACTCACAGCTGCTACTGATCCAAGCACAACATCGTATATTACTTGCTTCTGTTAAGCATGACATTGCCAAGCAATAATAGAAAACCACTGTGTAAATCAAGAAATTTACCTTTTTATACTTCAAGAGGGAGAACAGCGCTTTCTTACCATTGAAGAGGTACGGGTGGGCAACACACTTTCGAAGCTGAATCAAGACATTCTGAAGTGTAACCTTCCTTCCTGTTTCACTTTCAAATGCGTCTGGAACAAAGAGCACAGAAAAGGAACTGAGCAGAAAAGCCCATGCTCCATCAACGGGCATGACTGGGAATGTCTGGGTACAGAACACCGCTCTGCGGTGCTTCAGCACTGGAGTATCTCCCTCTGCATATCACTTCTGCATTTGAATTTCCATCACAAGACTAATACATCTGTTTTTGTGGACCAAACAAAATTTTCCTTACATTTTTTTGACGAACCTCTAGAAATAAACCCTGAAGAAAACTATACTGCCTTGTTAAACTCCCTGGAAGTTTCTGGATTACCTGGAAAGGGTCACTGTCATTTTTCTAAGAGTGAACTATAGATCTAGAAATCATCAAAAATAGTGAAAGAAATTTGGTGCTGTTCATTGAATTTTGCAACAACAACAAAAAAAAAGTAATACAGCACAGTCACGATCTCCAGGGCAACCAGGAAGTTAAGAAGGGTTGCATTTTTCTGAAGAGATAAAGAAAATACGTGCACATATACTGATTTTAGAAGGTTCAGATTGCCAGCTGATGTTCATGCAAAGTGCTAGCACTAGAAGAACAAAGGGTCCCCAGCCCCCCAGTTTTACTTTCCCTACAACACATTAAGGACTGGCAAGACAGATGATGTGGTTTGCACAGATGGAAAAAAGAAATTCAGAGAGAAGCAAATACTTTCTCTCTCATACCCCATGATGCTTTGTAACAGTTCATACATGAAGTGACAAAGAGTGAGCTATTACGGTAACACTCCGTGGCTGCATTGGTTATATGGCTCTGTGGTTTCCTAAGAAACTCGTATCTACATCCACACTTTATGGCATCTGTGCTACTACTGGAAAATTTGTAGAGGTCCACGTGTCCAAAATTTCCTGTACCTCCCTTTTGTCTGGACATAAAAACATGGGAAGGGGGAAGCTTACCTCATGATAAGCATTTTTAATTCCAGGCCGGCCCAAAGCAGAATCCTGAAGCTGACCCTCCCTGGCACTACAACACTCAGCTCTAAATCCATTTGTCTCTTATTTTTGTCACAAGCTAAAACCACAAATCAAGCAGCTGAAAGCACTGAATTTGACATGTTTATTCTATGCATATCCTGCAGGCCAAAGTATCTTCTGCTTCACTACAACAGAGCACAGATTTACAAAAGGAATTGATTTTGTTTTTAAAATTAGCTGATAGGATTCAGAACCCTCAGTTACCTAGATCTTTCATCAAAATGGCCTTGTAGTACTTTCTCTGCAGAGCTGACATTCCATGGTATAGAACCACTTCCACCTTCTTTGGCAGCTCTGCAGCCACCTCAGATTTGACTCTTCGAAGCAAAAATGGCTGCAGAAGACTGTGCAGTTCTTTGGCTATGCAGAGGCAGGGGAAAAAAATAGGAGATTACTGCATAAAATATAAGGAATTTGTACAGTAACTTCATAGCTGTATTTTAAAAATAAATAAGGAACCTTACATCTATTAGTGAGATGATTCAAGCACAATTTTACACACAGAGAAACTAAAATATAGCTGCGTACCTGAAATACTTAAGAGCTACATTAAGGTAAGTAATAACTACTTTTAGTGTCCTTGTTTTAAAGCTAGTCAGCATTAAAAGAAGGCAAATAAAGAGGACACAACATGCCTGTCTCCTAGTCAAGATAACAACAGCTCATTCTGACTGGAGTACAATATTACTTCTTAGTTACCTGGCTCACTCTCCTTTTCAATCGCTTGGTAATAGTCAACAAACTCTTTTGCTTGTTCCCTAGGAAAGATGACAGGTTCAACAAGGCTGAGTAAGGAGTACAGTTCCTGGAGGCTGTTCTGAATTGGAGTGCCTGTGAGCAGCAGGCTGAAGCCTACTGAGAACTGAAAGAACCAGCAACAAAACAAGATTAATTAGGAGCAAATATCTGGAATGAAAAGTTACTTAATATACAACTCCACCCACACCACTCTTTAGCTTAACTTAAAGATGACAGGTGGCACAGAACTGCCTGCAGAACGCTGCAAATGTCTGCCAAAACCACTCAACATAAGGTATGGTGTAACAGTCAAATAGCTCCACCAAACTGATTAGGATGGCACCAATGCAAGGAAGCCAGTGTAAACAAAATGAGAACAAAGTGCAAAACCAACACCATTAAAATTCTCAGATCCACACACTCTACAATCCTGTGTACTCAATGTTGGGTAACGACAGATGATTGGAAAATGCTGTTGGAATAGGATAGTCGCAGTGAAATAAAACTGCAAAAGATTATGTTCCATTTCTATTTGCTGGCTAACTCTGACAACAACGTTATCTGGTCCACATTGCTTACAGTAATCCATGTCAGGAGACCTAGGGAATATGCTTACCTTTGAAAAAAATACAATTTCCTCTCAAGTTTGGTAATAGAAAATACTTTAGGAGCAGACCTAAGGTGAATCATGCTTATTTCTTTGCGACTACAACCAAAGCTCCTGAAATACAGGCATCATGGGCAATATGTTAGTTCAACGTTGCTGATGCCAGCCCTGACCTAATGCCATGTTCCACTGCCATGACAAGAAGGGCAGCCTTCACTCAGGCATTCATCGTACTCTGGCAGGGTGCTTTGGAAGCTGGAGCAAACCTACTCATTTCAATAAACAAAGGTGGCTCCATTAAATGGGGCAATGGAAGACAGTAGTTCATGACTTGAGGTCCCATGGATGTAGTCTCTTGTTGCTTTATATTGTCTTAGGTCAGCCAGACGTCTACTTCAGTAGCATAGCTGTGGTTCAGCGCTATGTCTGGCTGCTTTACATTTTTAACTCTCTCAAATTGCTCCAATGTGTCAAGCCCAAACACAAGTCAGAATGAGAGATAAGCTCCAAATACTGCCCATTTCCATGCAAAGCCAACAAGATAGGCCTTTATTTGCCTGCTACTAAATATAGCAATCTGCTCACCAACTCTGATGGAAACTGATTGCATCCCACAGCTTAATAAATACTCAGAGTAACAAACAGAGAATCTGTAGGTTATACCAAAGAGGAAAATATCTTTACATACTGGAAGACAGATGAGTTATTTTACCTCAGAAAGCGTCTTGTAAAGCAGAGAACTTTGATTTTTCAGTCTGTGAGCTTCGTCTACAACCAAGGCAGCCCAGTTAAAGCTAAACAAACACAAAACAGCATCTTTAGTTAGGAGCTGACAGTTCTTCTCAATACAAAAAGACTGAAAAAAGTGATGATTCTGCTTGGCTGAACTTGAGATGCTCCCACTGCATGAACAACAAACAAACATTGCAAGTGGGGTGGGAGAAATTCACAAGTTCTGTATTTCAGGAGCTTCAACAGTTTCTTAACTATAGCCTGGATGAGTTTCTCTAAAATCAAAACTAAGTAAATTCACTTCATTTTGTTGCTTCTCTCTCCCTCCCCATTACAATGGGGAAAATGACATAAGCACAAGTTAGTCAAACATTCAAGAAGGTCTATGATTTGGAAAGAGACACTTGAAACTAGGCCGTGGCACCTGTGCAAAAACCCATCAGCTATCAGGAGGCAGTGACAGCAGAGTGGTTACAAGGCTTTTGCACATCATCCAGCACAGGAGCTTCGACTTATTCTAGGTTCGTACAGCTATATACAGTGTCTCCTCAAGCAAGCTGCAGAATCACTGGTGATCTAGTAGATCCTCTAGGCTTCATACAAACTCTGGATCTTTCCAGCCCTCAGTGTTTGTGTCTGCTTATCACTAGGGTTTCAGCTCTTACATCACAGAGTGATTTCCACACAGTCAAGCCTGGCTGATGGGTAGGCAGGGAAGGGAAAGCGGCTTTTCTTACCCACATGCTTCTCTTCCCAGTAGAATACAAGGGCTTGAGTCACAGCTACCTACATTCTCCCCACATCCTCTCTGTTTGCCTTCATTCCCCTCTTCCCTATTTAAGAGAGGGAAGACTGTCCTGACATTGCCAGGACAGTCAAACGTCATTATTCTTATTCCACAGGCTCAGCAACCGAATTGCAGGGGGGACACTGCAATGAAGAGCATTGCAGAAGCTCATGTGCACAGCAGAGTCTGATGTCTCATGCACTACATTAGAGCAGGGCTCTAGCTCAACTCATTTGTGAGTTTGTAAGAAGAGCTGGCGGTGGGACATCTGATAACTCTGACCCACCTTTACAAAGTGCTGCAAGTGCTCCTACACAGGACAAATGTGCAAATTATTAGCAACCACTTTTTTTTCAGGAAGACTAGAGGGCAAAAAAACCCCAAACTTGAGTGACATGGCTTTGATGTTATGGGCTAACCTTGGAAAGAGGAAACTGCACTGGAGTTGACATTTCTGTAATACTAAGGCTAGTTACTTGCTTTCCCTGGGTACTAAATAGCCCAACTAAACTGCACAATAAACAGAATCAAATGTAGCAGTGCAGTATATGATATGGAATGTAAGGACAGTATGGCCATGGCTACCTTTCCTCAGGCCTGGCTTCTACCATGATGTGTTCATCCAGCACAACTTGCTGTTTCCAGCACTGGCCAAGGGCAGGTGCTTTGCTGAACAGGTTGCCCATAGGAGGCCTGACTAATTCTGGGAGATCCAAAATTGTGTCAGTAGGGGCCACTGGGTTTCTGTTCCTACAAAAGATCCTGAGCCACTCGTGATAATCTGGCTGACCCCAGAATTTGTCACAGCACTTATCAATATTGTAAGGCTTTCATGCTATTACTAAAAAATACAAAAATTCCTTCCCATTTCAAGTGCAGGCTTCTGTAAAATCCTGCAGGACCATGACAATACTTCCTACAGGGTGAATTTCAGCTATATAATCAGTCTTGCTAGAAAGCATAATGCTCCAGAACCCCTCCACCGCTCTGACTGGTGGCAAGAGGCAATAAACTTCAGGATACGGTATTAGCACATGATTACCATAGCATAATGCAAGTGAATTTCAGCAAATTTTGCACCTAATGATCTCATAAGAACCTTTATAATCTGAAGTTCTTGAAGATCTCCTCTGTTCTAATTTTCAGTCTTCTAGACTGGTATTTAGTGTACTGCTATAAGCCACTATGCATCATATTATTTTGAGCTAACTGGCTTGAAAACTGTTGTTGGGGAAGTTCACTTACATCTTAGCTGACATTAAAGATTCTTCACTGAAAGCTGGTAAAGCCAAAGCTCTAATCACAAGCAAAGAACATCCTTGGCTCTTGTGAAATAAGCATGGGATTTCATGCACACACAAACATACACTTAAGAAATAACTGTCAGATGTGCAGAATTAAGATTTGAAAAAATTAAAACCAGACTCACAACTTTAGAAACGCCGCATCTTTCAGACAAATCTGCAATGAAAAGAAATGAACTGTGATTTATGACTTAATACACCAGTTAAGAAACAGAACATCTTTTTGTCTACTTGCAAACTATGGTGGAATGGGGGAGACTGGAATGAAGCCACTTAACACCCAAGGAACGTAACGTGACAGCCATTGTAACCACAAACTGTTGTGATCCTACATTTTAACTCGTCTAGCAAAACAGTAGAACTGCAGTAGAACTTTAGAGAATTAATGGAAATTTACACACACCATGAATGCTTTTGAGCTCTGTAGAAGTTTTTCATACCTTTCTCACTCACTAAGAAATACCATGCACCTTCAGTATCACAATCTTTTTCACTCTAACCAATCATACGCTTCAGTGGATTGATCTGAGCCATTACAATGACCTGACAGTATTCTAAAGTGTAGACTTCGCTTGCCCAATTTCAGGTTCAGAGGGAGAGATATCAGGTCGCTCAAGAGAATGTCTTAAAAAGCACAGCATTTTATCATCAAAAGCAACAGAGACAAGAAAAATCCTAGCTCCGTGAATATTTTGATACAGTTGGTTGCTGCCTTTGACTTGCTTCAGTGTGAGCACCTCCATTTATCACATTCAGGATGAGGGTTATCACTGCTACCCACTCCCACTTGCACAACATGGAAAAAGATTCAGTGGACCTGAATGGTGAGCACAGGTCCCCCAGCTCCCAAAAGGAAGAGACCTTAAAATATGTGAAGAGAGGGAAAGCAAAAGGGCAAAGAGAAAGGGAGATCGGAAGGGAAATAAAAAAAAAAGGAGCAGTAAGAGATGTTTTTAATCTAATTTCATGCAGTTGTGTTTGTTAAGAGATTGTTAAAATAAAATCAAAGTCGTGAAATGAACTAATACCTGAGTGGGACTGACTCAGAAAAATAAGGGCTTTTTCCCACTCCAAACAATTAAGCACCAGACCATGAAAAGTCCAAAGCAGTGATCAAGGAAACAACCCTATTCTGGTTTGGTTCCATTTACAACAGGACAGGACCTTCTCAGGAGAGCTATGATTAGATTCAGCCCAAAGTCCTATCAATTATAACAGGAACCTCACTGTTTTGCAGTCCAGGAATGAGAGTTTTGTCTGAGGAGGGCATGCTGAGGAGGGCACAAAAAAGGCAAACTCTAAGTGTTCTTGCATTGCCCAATTAATAGAATCTTAACAAGCATCACACATGTACACTTCTATTAGATGTTAAAGGTCTGGAAGGCACCATACAAAGACAATGCAGATACCATTCAGCATTAGTTAAGGATGGACACGTGTCTGTTTTCTTTCCTCAAGGTGTGATACAGCTATGTGGTAAAACTGGGGTTAAAGTAGATTATCTGAGGGACACAAAAACTTGCAGCAACCTAGATCAGCTTGTGGAATGGGTTACAGACTAGAAAACCACTGAGAAAGGTCAGACACGAATGCAGAGGACAAGGCATGAGCTGGGTGGTACAGGGGAATGGAAAGGCAAGAAAAAACTTGAGCCCTCCTTTCAAGTGACAAAGCCATTACATACCTCGTATGTTGTCAGGACCGCATGGAAGTGAGATTGTTCTTTCAGGTTCTGCTGCAGTTTGGGTCGTTCCTCCTTGCTGCCTACGTATGTCACAAAGGAAAGACCTGGAGCAAATCTGTTGGCAAGAGAAAAACAGAGCAAAAACAGTGAGCCAAGCTAAGTCTTTCATGTGTTTAAGACCCTCAACCCCCTTACCAAACATAGCTACTGAACAGGTAATGAGAACCTCCTGTCCAAACACCCTAACCTCCTGTGAGATGTGGCTGGATCTCAGCTTTTGAATCTAAATTCTTCCTGACTAATTTGCATCTCAGGTTGGTACCTCAACTGCCGGTTCTGGTCTGGACAAGTCCCAAATAAACTGTCTTCTCCTAGGTCTCAAAGTTCAAGGCAGATGATTAAAAACCAGTCTCATGGCCCATTTGTTATTCTAAACTGAAATAGCTCATGAGAAGCAGGTGAATGAATACAGTTTGCCTAGCTGGGGCCAAAGAAATGGCCTAAATCATGCTAAAATAAAGGGAATGTCTACAGCAAACAGGTCTGAGTCAGGGCCTCAAAAATCTATCCTCTTAGTCAAAAAGCAGATAAAACCAGTTCACGGAGGAAGAGTTGGGGCCATAAAATTTTTCCTCATTTAATCCCACTGATATTTGGCTAATGGTCCTCCTGGATAGCTGTTCACTGCTGATCAGTGAAGGGACGTGCTTTGCCTCAACTATTCCAACTGCAAGTCTATCCAAACCAGGCCAGCTCACTTCAGAATATAACCTGGATGACTTCAGATGCTGAGGGACAGCATCGCCTGGTAGTCACACAGACAGACTTCTGTTCCAATTTTTAACTCTGTGCCCTTCCTCTTAAAAGGAATCCTTGGGCTCCAGCTCAAAAATGTATGAATTCTGGGCGTAGCAAATGTGCCATCAGCAGAGTCATTGCACACCACTGAAGTTGGGTTGCATGCAGAGATGTAATGTATTTTGCATGCACATGTGAGCATGCCAAGAAAGATGCTATTCAACTTGGGTCTTACCTTTCATCATACAGAATCCTGGGTGTCTTCAGCAGATTTTGCCTAAGAGAGGCTGAGCACGGAGGGTTACAAATCAATAAGAAGTAAGGAGATAGTGGGGGCATTTGGGCTGAAACTCAGCCAATACTAGAAGTTTGATTAATTCATGTATACTGCAGCATTCTAAAGACTAGTCTAAAGACTACACGTTAACTGCAAGTGGTGTTTGCGTTGATTTGTTGTTTTGGTAGCTTCGTTTTTTCACTTTTCTTCCTTTTCAAAGGAAGAAAACTGTTGGACTGAGACCATTTGAAGAGAATCTTTGTAACTTGCTGTGCAAGAATATGATGAGCCAGACAACTGTTAAACTTACCGCTCCAGTTCCTCCTTCCAGTTGCTCAGAACCGAGAGAGGACAAAGTATCAGAAATTTCTCTTTGTTTGTTACTTCTTTTGTCAAGTAAAGTAGTAGAGAAATAGTCTAGAAGGCAAGGAAAATATTATGGTTTTTTTATAATAACAAAAGAGTTAAACCCAATAGCCTGAACCCCCATAAACTGTCTCCCTCCTGAGCTTTATAGCTGGTTCCCATAGGTTCTCTAGCACAAAGAAGAGCTAAGGGAATGTCAAGTGAGATCCACCATCAATGACAAAAAAGCTTAGATTCCAGAACATGACCTCGAAATCTGGAGAACCTTTCCAAAGACCTTTCTCCATAGTGACGAAAAAGAAGATCTACCATACATCACTTTCTAAAACTGAAAGTCATTTAAAAATTTGCGAAGAATAAAAAAGCAGCACTGAAAAATTGACACCTGTAAATTTTAATCCATGTGTTGACAAACCCAAAAATCATTTTGATGCAGGTGCATCCTCCTCTCCTGTGTATTGTCCCTTCAACTCTGTGCACTATGAATTAACCACACATTCAGATGTCTGTGTGAAATGACGACTCATCTTTTTACAAAACCCTGAAACCTTTCTGGAGTGTCACTCAGGACCTCAGGACCTAATAGGGATTTTAAGTGATTAAGGAATGAAAGAAACAACGAGCTCTCCCTTTTGAGTACAGACTTCAGGATGGGGCTGCTTAACTAACCAATTATCAGGGTGATTTTCTTTTCATTCTGCAGAAACATTGGCCTAAAGTAGGCAAAGGTCATTTTCCAGAAGAAGACCGCAACACACCTGACACGTCTTCCCAAGACCCATCTCATCGCCCAGGATACAGCCGTGCTGGACTTTGTAGCATTGCACCATCCATTTTACACCTTCTACTTGATAGGGACGAAGCTTAATGCCTGGGAATAAAAGCAATTTGTTATGTTTGCATAGTCCTCCAATACACTCCATACACAGTGCACCTTGAAGCCACCAGAAACAGGTCCTGGACAACCAGGCCTACCCAAACAACTGCCTTGCAAGAAAAGCACAGCAGTTTTCAGCAGAAGCTGTTTTACTTTGCTAGAAAGTAGAGATGCTAATGTTACAGCAAATCTATTAACTTAAACCATATTCAGGAACTTGTACACACAAAAACGCTCTAAGCCATTACAAAGGCCTAGACATTGATCTGATAATTAAGCCATTACTTTGCATTTGTAAAAGACAGCTTGATTTTAAGCTGTGCCTACTTTTTAAAATATCTAAGTACTACATCCAGGGAGATGCTTTATGCTACTGGGAATGTCTGCAAGACTCTACCATTGTATAATAATCATTTCTCACCAAGATGAGAATGGTTTAGGTTGGAAGAGACCTTAAAGATCATCAAGTTCCAAGCCCCCCTGCCATGGGCAGGGACACCTCCACTAGAGCAGGTTGCTCAAAGCCCCATCCAGCCTGGTCTTAAACACCTCCAGGGATGGGGCATCCACAGCTTCTCTGGGCAACTTGTCCCAGTGCCTCACCATCTTCAGAGTAAAGAATTTCTTCCTGATCTCTGATCTAAATCTGCCCTCTTCCAGTTTGAAGCCATTACCCTCTGTCCTATCACTACATACCCTTGTAAAAAAAGTCTCCAGCTTCCTTGTAGCCCCCCTTCAGATACTGGAAAGCTGCTATAACCCAGCACCAGATGCCAAAATGAACACAAAACAAGTCAAGGAGGAGCTCTTAAGATCTTTTCCCTGTACCTGGGCTGGAGTGCTGCGTACTGTTCATAAGCCACATATATTTTTACACCTTTATTTACCTCAAGCCCGGGGGCTTGAGGTTAACACAGAGGCGACCACAACCTCTCCGCCGCCCCCTCACAGAAACCCCCCCAGGCGCCTCACCGCTCCCTCACCGCCCCTTCCCCCGGGCACCCCCCGGGGCCTGGCCGGCTACCGGCGGTGTCCCGCTGACCTGTCAGACCCCACCGGTAAACGTCGGCCTCCTCCGGGCCCGGACTGCCCCCCCGGCCACCGGCGGCACGGCCAAGTGCCTGGTAGAAGCGGGACATGGCGTGCGGCGGGGGAGGCCCCAGGTTTACCAGGCACCGGGCGGCCACCGCGCGGCTCCCGCCGTTCCTCTCTCGGCTCCCGGCGGGGGCGCAGGCGCCCGCGGTGGCAAGGCGGGGCCAGGCCCGAGCACCGCCCCGACCTCGGGAGGGCTCACCGCCGCCCGCCGGGCTGAGGGGAAGAGAGGGAGATGGCGTCGCCGTTGCTGCTGTTCCTCCTCTCGCTGCTGCTGCCGGCCGCCGCTTTCTACCTGTGCTGCGTGCGGCGGCACACCGGCAGCGCCGGGGCCGTGCTGCGCCGCCGGGAGCCCGGCCGGGCCGAGAAGCGGGGCCGCAGCCCGCCGCGGGACGCCGTGAGTGCCGGGGAGGGAGGCGGGAGGGCGGCCGGGCGGCGGGGGGGAGCAGAGCAGAGCCCGGCGTTCACCTGTCGCCTCCTCTCCGCAGTGGGCACCGCGGCTGTGCGGCTCCGGACTGCGCCTCTTCGTCCATGTGGCCAACACGGTGAGTCCCGGCGAGGGGCCGCCCCCCCGGCCGGCACCGGGGCTGCCTGGTGTAAACAAGGCAGTAAAACCCGGGGTGGCTGGGGGAAACCGGCC